TCGATTTCAACACAATTGATCAGAAAGTATGAAACTCAATTTTATAAACCACAAACACAGAAATTGGATAAATAATCAAAGCTAGATGGAAATACATCATCTCAAACAACCATATGAATTAGAAGTTGCAAATGCTAAATAACCCAAAATTGAATCCTAAAGGAATTAGCCACACATGGCTAAACCTAGATTACGGAAATTCAAAATCTGAAAAGAAATACCTAGGATTGAAGTAGAAGTTGGATGAGCTCTCCCAAAATCGTCTCTTGCTTCCTTTTCAATTTCAGAAAATCGAATTCCCCTTGCGTCTTTCTCCCTCGAACAGCTGCATGCTGCTGTCCTCTCTCGCCTCTTGTGACAGCCCCAATCGAACCGCCCCCTTTCTCTCTCAATCGACAGCCCCTTTATCGCCTATTCACTGCCTCTTCTCCGATTTTCTGCCCACGTTCGCTCCCGCTTCGAACCCCACGAACCAGCTCCCTCGAACACACGTCTCTCTCTCAATTTCCTCTCGCTGCTGGTCTTGGGCAGCCTTGGGCTGCTGCTGTTTCTTCTTCTTTTCTTTTCTCTTTTAACTGAAATGGGCCTCATCCTCTTGGGCTGCATATAAAACAGAACCGACCCAAATCACAAATAATAGATAAGTGTTGTATTATTTAGAAAAACTCACTAATTTCCGGGTAATTTGATAATAAAAAATATAATAATTTAAGCATTTATCAAATTTTTGATTAGTTGTCAAAAATATAATTACTATATTACCCTTTTAGCTTATTTAAGAAATATCCTATATTATCTCAAACAAATGATTCACATTATATCTCACGGTTACCACAAACTGATCAGTTCTCTTTTGAATGAGCCTCTGTATAGAGGCATAATCAAATAAGAACTGTTTTTTTTGTGGTAGCCTAGAGATCCAACCTCAACACTAGATTGAGTTGCACCCATATCATATATAATTCATCATAGCCATAGTACGTAGTTCCCGAGTGGTGTTAGCAAGAGCGTAGTGATCAGCTTCAACACTAGATTGATGATGAGAGATGGTTTCTTGTTGCACCATGATATGAGAAAATCACCAAGTAAAAACAGTAACCTGTGATAGATCGATAATCAGTAATGTCACCATCCTAATAAGCATCAGAGAAGGCATGAAACTTGAGTTGACAATGAGGAAAGGAAGTACAAGCGATGAAACATGGTGCGTTTGACATACCAAAAGATCTTTTAAAACAATATCATAGTGAGATGTCTGAGGTGCAACCATAAACTAATTCATAGCATGAACTTCAAAAGGCTAAATCTGGATGAGTTAACTATCGGATACTGATAGGCAGGTCTACACCCCCTAACCGTAAGTGTGTGGTATCAAATCAAGTAATAAGTACGGTAAGTGGGAGTATCAAACCAAGGAAACTAGGTATTGAGTAACACAACGACTATAATTACAACTAACTGGATGAATTGATTTAATGATTAAATAACTAATTAAACTAAGAAAATCTTAAACAATTTCAGAAAACTAAAAGTTAGAAACTTTATAACAGGAGAAAAACAGTTGGGAGTTGGAATCCTAGTGGTCTTCATATAGAACACTTCAGTTGTAATAATTATCAACGAAGTTCACTATCACCATCTTATGTCATAACAGATTTATCCCTGAAAACGTATATTTTACATCTCGATTTCTATACACGAATTCAGAAAATTATTAAGAACAAGGTTGTAAAACAATACTAAGACTTAATTGGTATATCCCTTTCCAAGTTCTCACCTTAGTCCTATGGATCAAAAATCTAATTATAAGTTATTTCTATCAAAACTAACTTATAACAATTAAATCAATTAAAAGTTGATCAGACTTACAATAGCATTAGATACAAAACTCATATGCTTCATTAATTGAAAAACATAATAAAAATCACAACTTTATGTGTTCATATGCTTACAAACCAAAAGTAATCCAACCCCAAATATCTAAAGATTAGTTCATGTTGTGGGTGGTTGAAAACAGAATAAATAGAGAAATAATTCATAAGTTCAGACATGGTTTCTCAAGCAAAACCTAAAACAAATGTAAAAACTCCCTTTCGATGATGAACCTCCACAAGTAATCAATTAATACAGCTTTAGATCTTTAATCCCGATGTTAACTTTCTTGTTTCGTAGCTCCAAAATCGCCTAAAATCACCCCTTGCCATCCCCTATGAAGATTGAATGTTCAATTAGTCGAACCCCAGCTGAAAAGTGTTTGAAAACGACTTTAGAGGCTGTCGCTAGTTTACCTACCATGGAAACTAGCCCAAGAATTTAAAGTCGCGAGGACGATCAAACTAGCGAAGAAAGTTGCCTCGGTCATTGTTTTGGCCATAACTTCTTCGTTTTAACTCCGATTTGGCTCTGGAAAGTATCATTGGACTCCTATTTGAATTATCTATTCAATAAGACTATAGAATCTTGCGATTAAGCTCACAATCTCATATCTCTTCTATCTATCCTGATAGGTCGATTCTTGTGCAAACTTTTACTAAACTTTATAAAACGCTTGGTTTGCTTGGAAAATGAGCTAAATTACATGGAAAGTGGTACAAGAATAACATCCAAAATTGCGTTATCAAATACTTAAATGATCCTACCGGAGTGTTTTACGGTTTTCACAAGAACAACAGGTTTCATTCAACAATATATCCTATGAATTAGATAAATGTGAATTCTAGGAGTTGATATTAGTGGTATAAGTATGAAACATAGATAAGATCAGTAGAGCCAGGGATTCAGATATTACCAGGAAACAAAAATCTCAATGAGATCCAGAGGATATTTGATATTACCAACAAAGTTAGATACCTCAAGTTTTGTACCATATTATTAACTTGATTTATTTAGATGGAGATTGATTAAGGGGCCGTGTATCAAACACTTGTTCGGTAAGCGTTTACCGGTAACATTCAACACTATCATGTACATACCGGGTAAGATTTTAGTCCACCAACACAGCATCATATACAACAATTTACCCGGTAAGAACTAATCGTGATAAGAGTCATCATCATTACTTACCGGGTAAGACTCCCGGTCCTTGTCTTCGTTCTTACCGGTAAGATTCTTGGTCCTTGTCATATTCATCCGGTAAGATAATATGACCTGGCAAATACTTACCCTGGTAAACTTTTAGTAAACGACCCCTAAAACGATTGAGATAAAAATGAAGCAACCATTTTTAGTATTGGAGATTGAAGTCGTTGAAGTGTTAATACAAAAGAGCAATAAATACTTCAAATAAACTATAAATATATATATCGTCTCGTTATTTAAAAATATACAAATTAATCTGATTCATTATACTATATTATAAAGCATTTGATAAAAACTGTTAAAAGCCAGTTTTTATGTATAAAGTACTGTATATTGATGCATATTACTTAAATTCAAGATTACAAGTAAACTATGCATAAGTACAACTTATTAAAGCTCGATGTTTGAATTCGTATAACTAACTACGGATAAACATAATCAAATAGAAGATAAACATCTCATTTTAAAATATAAAAAATATAAAATATAATTAAAATAATTATCGATTTCTAACAAAATAATTAATTATTATTTTTATAAGAAAATTATATTATTAAAAATATAAATTAATTCGTTATTGTACCTGAATTAAATTATAATAAAAAATTGAATTGAAAAATTATACAAAAAATGAGTAATTTTAAATAGTTAATTTGATACTAATATCGATATATATATATATATATATATCTTCAAATTTATATTTTATTCAAAAATAAAAACATTATCGTTTTTTTAAAATCACATAAGACCATATTATAACATCGACTGACATAAAAAATAAAATAAAATATTAAATTCAATATATATTTCGCTGTATTATGTGAGTATTTTTCTGATATAAATAAAACATTTTAGATAAATCCCATGATTAAAAAACGTACAACAAAATCTGACACGGTCAAGTGACGTATCGTTTTGACACAAATATAATTCAGTCTTCAAGTTTCTTTTTAGCGTTTTTAGTATACATTTAGGACAAGATCCACCTGCCAAGCCGATTAAAACGTTTCAAGCTCCATTGCATCGTCTCTTTCTTCCTTTTAAGCAATCAACCCCTAAACCCTTCAATTTCCACTTAATCAAACCTTAAAAAGCACAAATCATCCATTAAAACTTCTTACAAAACCTAAAATTAATAAATTCAACAACATTAATTAATCGAATCGACTGCATTGGGTAAGTCATGGTTCGAATTATTTCCCCTTTCTTCATGGTTGCCAATTCCGTACTTTTGATTCTAGGGTTCTTCCTGCTCGTCTTCCCATTTGATGGTTTTGTTAGATCAACGAGTTTTCATTTAATGGAACAAGATTGATTCAGGTGAAGCCAACCAATTGATCAACATGGCCCCCAAGATCATGCTTTTGACGGTCATGGTGACCATGGTCATCGCGGTTCGTTCTTTGGACACCAACAGCGTCTTCAATCCATGTTCAGATGCGAAAGTTAAGAGACGAGATGGATTTACATTTGGATTCGCATTTTCTTCCAAACAATCCTTCTTCAAAAACCAAATCCAGCTTTCACCCTGTGATCGTCGTCTCTCCCTTGGTGGAACCGACGCTCAACTTGCCATTTTCCGGCCAAAAGTCGACGAGCTCACTTATCTCACCATTAATGGCACCCACTTTGATCCGGTACGTCGTCCCGCCATTTCCATCTATCTTCATCGTTGAATTCTTAACAAAATCTGGCGAAATTCTCAGGCGAAAGCGGGTGGATATATGGTGGCATTTGCGGGAAGACAATATGCAGCGAGATCCATACCGACTTTTGTCGCTGATAAATCCAATATCATCACAAGTTTCACTCTGGTAAGATCACTACAACACAACCCTTTTCATTTTCGACATATATAAACAAAACAAAACTTTCTCTCGAAATCAATCAAAAACTTACCGTTCAATTTGAAAAAATGTATTTTATTTCTCAAATCGACACAACTGAGTGTCAAATCGGGTTGACTTTTTCATAGAATCAAACCTTGACTTTACAGGCTTTCGATCCACCTTAAAGGGTGCAACCGTTCAGCAAAAATTATGGGTCCGCCACAATTCTAGATTATAAACTCTGGCTGTGAAGAGTGGACCAATTGCTTTCATTAAGAACCGTGCTTTTTCATTTGAACATACTTTCAATCAATTAATTTGGACTTGACAGGTTCTTGAATTTGAAGAAGGCACCCTTGTGAACTTACATTGGAAGAAATTCGGGTGTAAATCATGTGCAGAGAGATCCGCCGTTTGCCTCAACAATCAAGACTGTGCTACACCAATCTCGAAATGCAAGGCTAATGGTGGATCAGTTGATTGTAAAATTAGCGTGCAATTAGCATTCTCGGGTACAGATAAGGCCTTGGATGTTCTTAACTCGTGGTACGAGGTTGAACAATTTCGACAATATTCGCTAATTGGGTTGTACCAAGACATCAATGACATGGTTATGGGTCCATAAAACTGTTTTTTTTTTTTTTTTTTTATGTTCTATAAGTTACATTAAGTGACGATCAATTGTGATCCTTCGGATAAATATAATACATAGAAGTGCATAATAATACACCCTTGTGATTTATTTACAATGATAATAAAAATATTGTGCGAGCAGTTATTTTAAGAGTAAAATATAAATTTGGTCCACGTGGTTTGTCAAAAACAAAATTTTTCGTCCCTATGATTTAAAATTACAAGATGGTTATCGTGGTTTACATAAATGTCTAGATTTGATCCTTCCCTCTAATGTCCGCTAAAAATTCCGTTAAATGAAAGACATCTTCGTCCTTTCATCGATATATTTATCTTTTACTCAATCAAAAACCACAAGGACCAAAACCATATAATTGATTTTAAATTTGGTAAAAGACAAATAATTGATAAAAAAGTAAAAATACTTCCCAGTTAACAGAGTCATTTGACGACCATTAGAGGAAAGGACTAAATCTGAACGTTTTTACAAACTATTATGGTTATTTTGTGATTTTAAAACTACAGGATGAAAAGTGTTACTTTCTAAAAAGATGATTTTTCACTCAACTTTTATCTTTCGGTCCCTAAACTCTTTATAACATTAACAGTGATGTGGATATCAGTTTGAGTTCTAAACAGCATTATAACAAAATTATTATCAATGTATCTCAAACTTATTTTGTAAATGGTGTATCTCAAATTCTTTGTAACAACAAATAATTATCAATATAAGCAAATTAACTACTTAAAAAATATATTCATTGTTTTACATTATATCTACTAATTATTAACCGATTTATGTTATATCTTAACTAGGTCTAATATACTTTCTTAAAAACTGTATCGCTACTCAAGGATGTTTAGATAGTTAAAAATATGATATATGTATATTATTACGTTTTCCTAAGTTTTAAGACAAATTAAACATCTTTATATGATCGTATACAATTAGTTTGAGCACAACTATCATTATATGCAAATTTCTAAAGGTCAATTTAACTTGATATTACATTATGATGTTATATAATATGCATTACAAAAAATAAATTATCATTTAATAACAATAACAAAAATTGGCTTAGGTATGAGATGCCTAGCTTGATTAGATTTCAAACCCATTAAAAATTAGTACGTTTCATTTGTAATTTTTAAATAGTAGGGGCATGATTTTACCTTCTCGTCCAGGGCATGAGAAACCCCAGGACCGGTCTTGCTAATGTGCATCCAAGTGTGGAGATCTCTTCTTACGCTTCTCCACTTGACTCTCTTTCTCATCAAAACCCAACCATATATATATATATATATATA